GCTGGAAACTGGAAATAGCCTGGATGTAAGCGGGAGAGTAAAATGGGTAGCACAGTAACGAAATGCTACCACTTTGTTTTGCGCCTGCCGCCTTGGCATACGAGTGATCCATTCTCCGCGTTGTTGGAACATTTTCTATCCCAGGGAGAAGGCTCCTGAATTTTTAACAATATTGGTGCCTCCCAAAGATTCCGTTGTGGCGAATCGAGTTGAAAATAATTCTTTAGGACTAGACAGGCGTCAAGGGGGCGATTAAATTACAATTTAACTGACAATGTTGAGGGGATTAATCCGGATTCAAACGTCTTTGCCCAGACATTTACTTGTGTCGTGCTCAGATCTGCAAAACGTAGATTGTTGCCAGATATTCCACATGCGTAGCTCATTCTTCCTTCAATCTTTCCTACATTTGCATTCCATAGCTTTCACTTCAGTGTTGCGCAGTAAGCCGTCACTTTGCTTGGATGAAAATTTTCCTTGGAGCATCATATTTTTCACAAGGCATAAAATGTCTAGAACCGAACCCTGAATTCAAGGTACGAAAGTGTGGATATTTAAGCCGATTTAAAGTTTTTCTATGACCTCTTACAGAAGGCGGTTCCCCGATTGCGCAAGAAGTTGGAGACAACAACTTCTATGCTGTGCCATCTGCTATCAAACTTACAAGATCGTGAATTACCGATGACTGCACTGTCGATGGTGACTTTTCTAATCAAACATACACAGTTCTCTGCAGGAAAATGTTTTTATTTCTGGAAATCGTTTACCCTTATTTCCCTCATTTTCAGTGTCTTCTCTCTTTCAAAAATACAGTGTTGGGACCAACTGCCATTTTCCTATGGCAATTATACCAGCGATTTTTGAATCCTGAGGCGAAGATTTAAAAGCTAAAACTCAGTGCTCAAAAATTTCGCAGCCAAATAAAACGAGTGCCCTTGTTCTTACTGATGAAGAAACGCACTACTGAAATCATAAGTAGCGTGTTACTGTTTACAGAAAGTCACAGTTAACACCAAAATGGGAAAGTGAAAATTAATTTTTTTAAAATGAAACTTCACGTCGATATTCGCGAATGCTAATTTATGCAATTAGAACAAAAGACCGGTCCTATATCCTACTTCATACTACTTATATTCTGAAAGAGTAGTCTTATCCCAGAGATCAAGGAAGGGCTAAATGTTCACTTTATGCAGTCAAGTTGATAAATTTCGGCTTAAACAAACAATTCGACGGAAGAGTGAGATCTCACCAGTTGATACCATTAAACTGTATTCTTCATGTAACAAAAGGAGCAGCTTTGTAAAACCCCTTATAGAATGAAGCAATCTTCACTCGAAATCCATACATAATCTATCCCAAGAAGATATAAGCTTGCTACGAAATTCGCTTTTTTTAAACACATTGCCTCAAGAAGCAGGAAACCTGTTCTACTACCCCTTTGACTCTTACAAAAAATGTGATGACAATCACTCTTAGAAATGCCAGAGGAATGTTGAGGATGAGAATGAAGCGGTATCTATCTTTCGACCATCTTAACTTAAGTGTGCATATCTTCTCACAAGTCTATTTGGCAAGTGCATGAGGTAGGAAGGCCATTCGTGGTCTGGTTGGCCAACTTTGCGACATAATTACTGAGCATACAGGTCTGGTGTCTAGTGGATGTGCGGACCACCCCACACACACACACAGGCACACACACGTAAAGGGAGCCGACATGGTGTTTTGGGGATGGAAGAGTGGTTGGCCCTTCTGTGTAGAGTGTACAACAGGGTAGTACATGGAATGGTTTGGGGATAGCCATTAATAAGCTCGTTTCCTTAATTTAAGCTAGAGTAAAGTAGGAATGGCATTTCTCATCTCAAGTCAATCAGGAAGCACGACACATTCTTGTCCCAGAGGTGAAAAAGGGCAAAGAAATTGTTAAAATTTCAGGCTTAATGTATGCCATCCATCAAGAGATGTCCTACAGGTGGGACTCGTCTACTCAATGTTCCCTTCCATGATGTCATAGATGTCAACTAACTCAAATTATTTAATGCCTTCCTGAGTGGTACTTGCTGCCACTGGATACTCCCTCTCTTCCTCAATAAATGCTGCACATTGAATTGTTCACTATGCTTTTAAAGCATTCAAACTGGATTAAACTTGTTTGAAGGGGTAGACAAGTTAGAAAACATCATTTTTCCGTTGCGTTTGATGAGCGTCTAAAGTACTAGGTAAACATTAGAGAGTACACTATGAGGTGAATTATTGTACCGGTAGAATACATTCACATAATTACAGGCACTTGACAACACCTTGCACATTTTTGTCGTCTGGTTACTGTGCTATTATTAGGTGGGACTTGAATGCCATGTATTTTCCACTCAGTAGCCTTTTCTTTTCAGTACCTGCAGGAGGCTTATTGTTCTCTTTGCGTTATGGAGTTAAGTGCCAAAATGACACGCCTAACAGTTCATAATCATGATTCTTTGCCATTTTTCTAGGTGCTCACTTTTTAAAACCGAAATATGCCAGAAGCGCTGACAGTCTGACAGCATGGGTGGCGTGAGGCTTTGACACATGTCTCGTGGAAGACTGACAAGTCTGCAATAGCAGTGTATGCCACTCAAGTCGACATTTCTGCAACACAACCCTCGACCTCCATTTAGGATCTTCCGCAGTCCATACAGTGTAGTCGGAGGCTCTAAAACCACTCCCCAAGCACAAAGAAAGATCACGGAATGATTTTGCATCATTGAATTTCGTCGGTTTTACTGGGTCTATCCATCATTTGAAATTGGTTGTAATGTTTTTTTTTTATGAGAAAGGACAATGTTCTACGTTGAGCGCACCTTTTATACCAATCGCTTTATCGAACAAAAAACACCACATCCTGCATCTCATCTCTTTACCACTCTGTAGGTATTTCAGTGTTACTTAACCGCCTACTTGAGTTTTCCTTTATTTCATACAACTTGGAAAGGCATCAAATCCTCAAATCATGCACTTACATCACTCATTTTACATCGCTCCTTCTAGAAAATTTTTTTAAGGACGATTTCAAATCTTTTAAACCCGGTAATGCTCTTATAATGGCCTCTAATAAGATCTCATGTCCCAAATCCCATCCAGTTAGTAACCGAGGTTAGTTCGTCGTCTGTTCCACCAGTCTTGAAGCACATTCTTGTCAGCGCAAATTGCAAATAGTTAAAAAGGCCAACACAAACATTTGCTTGGCTGAGGCGGGCTCGATCTGCCAAATCTCAATTAATCCGTTCTAACTAATGGCATCCTCAAGTCATCTACCATCCGATAGGCAATTATTCCGCCACAAAACATATTACTCAGTTAATTTTAGTAAAAAATCAGCCCCCTTAAGCATGGGTATGGTTTAAAAAGGACAATCAAAAACATTAGTAAGTAAAAAAATGCCTTCAGTTATGTTCTGCCTACTTCTCACACGCCAAAATCCAAATCTTTCGCTACTTTTCGTTCTCTGTCATTCCATGGCAGTTATTTGAAATTATTTATTATATTGCTTTTTGTAATATTTTAATATCTAAGTTTTTGTGAGCTTTTGCTTTCTCTTTTTCTTGTTTTTGTTTTGAATATCATGCTATCTCTATCTTTTTTTTCCGTCTCTGTAGTTTTTTTATTTGCTGATATTTTTATATCTGTCCCTTTTCATTTCTTCTTTTTCTTACCTTTTTTATATTTGTTTGCGAATACGAGACATTTTCTTTGTAGGTATGTTTTAATTGTTTAACATTCATATTAGTATTTGAATGGCTGGATAGATAAATGAATGGTTGGTTGGATGGATGGATAATCAAATACCTTCTGCTTGCACAGTATTTGGGTTATTTTTGCACAATGGTTGTTGAATTGATGCATTGGTGCCTGCTTGTTTGGACGGATGTCTTTCGTTTGCTCCTTTCTTCATGCCTCCTTTTTTGCTTCATCCATCTTTGACATTTCCTTCCGCTTATCTTTAACCTTTGTTCATGTTATTTTTATTCTAATTATCCATTTTTTCTTTTGTCTTCCGGATTTTTAACACATCTACTTTGTTCGCTTTTCAGAATAATAGACGCTCCTATTTCTGTTTTTATTTATCTTGTTCTTTTTAGCCTCCTCTTATTACCAAAATGGGATCGACGATGATTGTCATACATGAGACCCAGTATTTTTCCTTTTATACCCTTTTTCGTGTCACATAACACCAATGCCCACCTCTCGACTGATTAGGCCTTTGACAAGGTACACAACAAATCGATATCGATCGTCTTCACACCTTGACGTGACAGTGCATAAACGTCACTGCTAGACTCTGTCTAATTGCCACGTAATTTGCACTGTTTATCCTCGAAACACCATTTATGCCTGCGTGATTACCTATAGCTAACAGGAGTGCTATAAACAATTGCAAGTCCTTCGTTTTGGTGAACCACCCAACGCCCTGCGGAACGCCTTCCACCCCGCAAGCTGTGCAACCTTTCTTACTCCACCCATCAATACCTCATGGCAATCCTTATTTCCGATGCATGTTGAGGCGTAGTTAACCATACTGAATGGTCTAGTTAAAAAGAGAAACCAGTACCGATAAATAAGCCCATTGTTTAAAGCGATTTTTGCTTACAGAGTCAAGAAGAATAACAAAGCGTCATCAATATTATCTTACATACCAGGACGGAGTTCAACGAAGCATAAGACATGGTTATTCCCTTAAAATGAATAAAACCCTAATCTTTGGGGAAATGTTCCTACAATCATTCATGAATTGCGTGTCTATCCAAGCTGGTAAAGACAATCGTCCTAAACTAGAACTGTGCAAAGAATTTCGTCTTTTCGTTTGAAATAGGTTGAAGTAACATTGTCCAGAGATCCTGAAGTATCGAAAATCTAGAATAGGAAAGTGTGAAGATTACATCTTAGTTGAAAGTTACTAGCATTTATAGGTTGACGAAAGGATAAGACTGCTCTGCTTGTTTACTACCAGTGTCACATGTGTGTGGTACTCAGATTTTCCTGCTTCCATCCAATGTCACAGATGTGTGACATGTGGCTTCTACTAGTTTACGATAACTGTATTTCCTCAAATCATTAACCAAGGGATTGCCTGAGTTTGAAACAGAAAGAATGAAATAAGCTATTCCTCGAATAAGGATAAGTGCATTTTTTACTTCTAAACGAACGCCTCGATCATGCAAATGTAACTAAATAGTGTTAGTGACAACCTAAGGAGAAAAAATTGGATGCTGGGGCTCAACTCTTTCCTGTGAGAGACCCTGCCAGCACACATGTTTGTAGTTGTGGCAAATTGTAGTAATTTGATTAAAAATATTGAAGATACTCACCACAACAGGAGCAGGGCAATACTCGGAGTATTTTCCTAGTAACCATTCCTCATGAAGTCTGTGTACCTCTCTCAGGAATTCCTAAAAGTAAGACTAAGAGACTGCTCAACCCAACAATGACGTAATAATGGAGCAGCTGCAAATTCGTAGAGAAATCTTACAATCGACATGGTATCCTCTCCTGTTCGTTGACGCCTTCGAATTCGTTTCACACAGACCTCGGGTGTGGAGCGAAGATAAACTAAAATAGAGTTCACTGCTTCTAGATCTTGTCGTCTTATCAATAGAACATCATCAGCAACAAGCTGTAGTGGTATTGGCAAAATAGCATTAATTCATGGACAGACATTTCTGCTTTTAAGAAAATAATTTACCAATTAGATCCAACTTGAAAATTGGCAACTGACAACTCCATTCGTAATATTCGTTAAGAATTTCGCAGTCACCATCCGTGAGAACACCACTAAAGAAATTCAACACCAAATAAGCTAAGCAATCAATTAGTTGAACAGGCAAAGGAACCAAATTATACTAACTTTCGTCGATTAACCTCTGTGAAAACATAGCGATTACTGTAAATAGAACGCTCAACGAGCCGAATTTTTGAGGTCTAAAGATATAAAAAGTTGTCATTGTAAAATAATTTTGCGAAATGTTAAATTAGGCTAGGTACCCTTGGCGCCGAATGTTGATTTGCCAACGTCACCATAAGTTGCGCACGATAGGGAGTATTCCACCTGGTCGGATTACTATAAAAATTATCCTTTTTTCATTCTGTTATAAGAGAAAAGGTAGTTACAAATAGGCGGAAGCCTTTAACATTATTCCACTGATCAATAGGCTCAGGAAAAACTTCTACGTTTGGAGAAAGGCTCTCAAAATAGCGAAGAAATGTCGTTTTACCACTACCAACATTGCCTTCGACAGCAATTTGAACAAATCTGAGCAAAAATCTTCGTGAAGGAGCATGTGAATCACCTGTTAGGCATTTGTAACCAACGACAACTAACGGAATAACGCTTTAAAGCATCAATGGAATTTGACTAGCCGCTCTAGCGCATTGACCGAGAAAGGGCGTCTCCAGCCAATGAAAGTTGGCGAATTGGAGACATTCGTAATAATGAAGACTTCAAACAATATGTACTAAATTGCAATTAATAAATGTCGGACAAACCCACTAGTCGTAGCTGCAAAAAAAAATACTTTTTTACTGTTGATAGGCCTAACTCTTGAATTTATCAAAATGCTTAGTAAAATATCGCAAAGATGCTAATATTAATCTGAATTTATTGGACCATATCAAAAGGGACAAATTTTTGTTACTGCATAGTGTACCAATATACTGCTGTTTATTGTGTACCCAAAAGCAATTATTTTTGGCCACTTCATGAATATGAAATTAGATGCACTTCAATATTTACTACAGGAGCAAATATATGTTTATCAAAGAACCCTTTCTGAGGAACAGTCTTAACTCACAATTATGACTATGAATTTAGTGGCTCCATTATTTTTGTGCTCGTATTATGGGCCGAATTTGTAATATTCTGGTATTCTATGTTCCTATAATGTCTCGAATTCGTCAATTTCACCCTTACCCATTATTCAGTTGAAAGTATCCTTTTATCCACCTATAGCATACGAACTTTCGGCTGTCATGGTAGCCAAAAATTTCATGCCGTTATTCGAACATCTAACTTATTAATTGTCAGTACCGACCCGAACATCACGTAAGAAGGTAACAGATTTGGCGTTTCCCGCGTCAATTTCTGCTTTCCGACTCCTGGAATGGGATAAGTATAGAGAGGATGACATTTTATAAAGTATGTTTTGGAGTTGTTAAGGTTTAAAAGAGATGGGAATTTTTTCCTCCTGAGGGGTTAAAAACGTCGGTTCCATCATGTGTTTGGCATTACCTCGACGCTCTGCATTCTGATGAGTTAGAATGTGTAAAAGCATAAGGATGTCCATTCTCCTGGACATTTTTATCTGCTTTTAGGACTAGATTATGGAGGTAAAATTGACAAATCTAAGCCTTTGTTTGATTTCACAGTATTTTAAGCCAAATTCCAATACGTGGTAAAAGAACATCCTAAGTAAACAATTCTAAGCCTTAGATAAGGAAAAACTAATGCATTTTAGTTCATTTGCGTGCCTTCTCGTAGATCATTCTAGTTTTTGGCGTTGATAATCGGGAAGTCTTAGCCACTGAGATTGGGTAGACAGCACAATGTCAATGCTCAAAGCTTTTTATCGCCCTCCCTCCATCCCTCCCACCCTCCTGCACAATAGAAGTAAACGTTTTTCTATGCTAATGCCACATTTTCGCCTTTTAAATATGACTCGGTGTCCCGCCTTTTTTCCAAAATATCACTACATCTTACAAAGTCTCAAAGTTCAATTAATCGGCTCCAGTACCTCAACAACAAAGGTCAACCACATAAACTCATCAAAACAGGACTTTCCATCCTCCGCACGGAGTAGGTCTGGCCAGACAGCTGTCCAAATGGCACTTTTCAATTGCACATTATCATCTAGCCTCCCCTTTCTTCATCCAAAGTCACCCCACCCTACTCCACCGCCACCCTGTATAAGACGGTCTCATCTCTGTCTAGACGTTGAGTAAGTACAGCACAACCCCGATACGAAGCGCGCACACTCCCACCAAAAAATTTTTTAAGCCAGTCGTCCAGTTCCCGCTGTGAGTGGGCAATCAAGAGGTGGCCTCCTAAGGAATCCCCTGAGTGATCGCGATGGCTTGAGGAATCTATTTCTGAACAGATTCTTCCGGCATATGCCAAACCGCGTGCATTCATTGCTTCCTTTAATTTTTTATTAATCCATGGTGCTTTCCGTGTGTCAAGTTTACTGCCAGAATGGAGTTGTCTAAACAGTGGTGGTGGAATAACTAGCCAGAACGATGTTTCGATAGTACCTCAAAGTATTTGTGCGGCTGCATTGGTGCCACAATGAAATTTCATGCACAGAATCACTATTGAATGGAAAAAGATCTTGAAATTGCAAAAATCGAAAGGATTTTAACCTCTCTAGAACTGACCGGAAGTCTTCAGTCATGAAACGTTGATAGTCGTCAATTGACAACAATGACCTTCTCATAACCAAGGTGGTGGTTACCAAAGCCCTGTTACCATCATCCAGCACAAACACCACATTCGATAAATGACGTCTTACCCACCAGTCTATATTCATCATGACCCTTAGTAAGTCATTTACTCACTGGAACACCGTAAACAAAGCGTGTCCCGATGTTAGACCAATCAAACCAGTCGTCATTGGGACAAGGGTAGAGCAGGGGCATCAGCGTACCTTTTTGCTTCCTATCCCTTTATAATAACCTTGTCCTCTCATCGCGTTTTTTTTGTCACAACGCACCACCTATAGACTTTCACGCACCAAATTCATTTGCCGCGCCAGCTGATCGCCGAAAAATCGATAAGCGTTTAATTATTTAATTAAAAAGTTGCGAAGTAATGAAGAAGATCGGAAATTGGTTCATATGGTATCATTTAACCTTGAACGAGCACAACTCTGAGGGGGTGGGGTGGGGGGAGAGGTCTGTAAACGATTCTTCCTAGAGGGTTAAATACACCACCCCTACCCCCCTCCCCCTTCCTTTTCTCCCCCCCCCCCCACCGGACAGGCCTTTTATCTACCGACGCGACGATAATGTATTAACGTAGCTACCTTCATGCCACTGCGGGCCGGGGTGGCTTATTGAAAAGAGCGACGCAAAAGAGGTTTCAGCAAATCAAGTATGCTGGACAAATATAAGTAAGCGCCATTCGTTGCGTCTAGTCTCGAAAATTGGTCTCGTCACTCCAACCGACCACCCTTCAGCATCAAACACCGCAGCAACATTGAAGGTTTTTGATATCAACCACGTGATGGGAAGGGGGATATCACGATGGTCCCCCAAAGCAGAAAGGCGTGCTTGGCTAATAAATATACCAAAAGAAGGTAGTAATCACTTGGAGAAAGATGTTCACCTGATGTTGGACCACGAAGGTCACTTTTCATCACAAATCATTCAGTAAACAAACTTCTTTTTTGAGAGAAGACAGGAACAGCTAAGTAGTCCTTCAAACAGTGGAAGGTATTTGCCCGACCTCGGTGATGTTACGTTATACATGACCAAAAGATCATGACGTGATAATGTCAATAACGCCACGCAAATCCTCGTGATCAAGATCAAAGAGTTCCTTTAAAGCTGATATCTCCCCTTGGGAGTGGATCACCATCAGGATCAAATAGCGTTTCATTTATACCACCATGAGCTACATCTCCTCCGAGTATTATGAAACCTTTTGTGCTAGAAGCCTCTGCCGCCTTGCAACCAAGTTTAGCGCGTCTCGTAAAGCGGACCAGCTTGATCACGTCAGGTCATTCGACGTTACAAAAAGACGCTACAGCAAGCAAGAATGAAGAGAATAAAGGATTTTGATAGACCGATGCTGATGGAGTTCCGTGAAAACATTTGCTTATTTGTTTATACAAACAACACCAAGTAGAACCTTGGATTTTCATTCTGACTTCAGTCCCTCTAATTCACTTTGTTAATAATTATAAGCTTGGCTTCAAAGAGGTATGTCGAATGTGGGGGGAGATGTCACGTCGTCAGATTCTACTCATTCAGGGAGGGCTTTGACGAATTCAATACCGGCGTAACAGAATTTGTGATTTGATGTAGGGTGCTTTGATATATTTCCTTATGCATCTTTACATACTCAGTAATCCACATCAGATGTCTTTCTGCATTATTAACAAACTGATCCACTATACAGCCACCGAGGTACCCCAGGAACCAGAGGAAGGCATATGAATCCCCAGTAGTAGCTTCATGATTCTTATTAACACACACCACTCTTGAAACATCAGTAAAATTTTTTTATCGTTCTCATATTCTACCATTCAAGGGAAGCGAATGAGGCAAACGAATTCTAGTAGTGACTTTAGCCTCTATGTCGAAGAAATGGAAGTCTAGTAGCGCATTTGGAAAGATATGGTCTCCTTGCCACCAACGTGGTTGTCAAATCACAGGAGAATTCAATGGTTCACATTGAAAGAGGCTCATCAGCAAGACAGATTCATTCAGTAAGATTGCACACACCCTTAAATAGACACCCAGACCCTCATTGTGAAGGCGTCCGCCGCCCCACCTCGGCTTACTCACATAGAGTTGCCAAATGAACCCTTCCTGCTATTAATTTGAAGACTGAGCCACGCTGCCGAAATCTGTCTACGCCACCTATATAACCCCCTTGCCTGAAGATACACGCATCCGGGCCTGCAAGCATGTTGTTTCCGAAAGGGGTATGATTAATACCGCTGTCGCACGATTAGGCCGCCACGTGAAGATACACACTCACACACAAATTTGGGTTTTTGGAGGTCGTGTTTATCTATGGTGAGAGGTTGTTCCTCACCCTCCTCCCCTCCCCTCCCCGTCGGTGGATAAACAATCTGAAGTGAGTTTGTAAAGCGGAAGAACACTGCTGACGCCAACTTGGTGGTAGCACCTTCATGAGGTCGGTAGATGGACCCATTTCGGTCATGTTTTATCAACATTTCTCTCTCCTGTGACTCCAAAGCATGGTGTGACCTGTCCAGCCGACCTCATGGCAACTTCTCCATTTCCCAGGGCACAAAAATCGCTTAGCGAGTTAGGAGTTATTGAGAAGAATTACACTTTTTTATTTGTATCTAATGCTGGTGTAAACAGCTTCGGTCCATTACGAGCCTTCGCCTCCAACCCGGCTCCGCATGAATTGGCGCTGATGTTTCCTTCCTCTCTAGTCCAGTAATAATAACCACCTCCAACCTTCCAAATTTAACCTCACTGGAGATAGTGAAGACGCCGTGGAGATGCGCAACACCCTTTATGTCCAACGAAGAACGCATCCACTTCGTAGAGGGAGGAAATTCCACACAAGGCAGGAGTCTACCGTAGTGACAATATGGTTACTCTCGTACAGGACAGGTGATAGGGCCAATTCCTAGATCATGACCAGCATGCTAATTCTGCATCGGACAACCTCCAATCGGTTACTCACAACATCATACAACGACACCGAGAATCACACCCTGCGGCGATTCAGGAGCAAGCGAATAACCAAGTAAAGGTGAGGGATGAAAATGAAAGAATAGCCCAAGCAACCACCTTGACCACACGCCTCATCTGATCTCTAGGTACCCACATGATACACCGCAACAACCTGCAGTGTCACCGAGCCAGAACGCACGAACGATACAAAGCGGCACGAAATAGCGGTTCTTACCGTTTCCGCTACCTCACGACGGGGATTAGAACACAGAAACAGCCTCAACAGCCAAAATGAGCTGCTAGCACAACCCTCATAATACTGTACGAATCTGCATGCACCAATTCGTCGGAGGCACTTCAGGATACCCCGACTCCGCGCCTACCCAATATCTTTGTTGAAGCAATTCAGACTGATCATCTTTAAATGGACCAGTTACAACCTGAAAGGCGTAGCTCCACTGCCTGCAACACTTAAATACTGAATACCTAGCATTCAAAACATTGCTGGACCGGTGTAGCTAGAAGGCGACTCAGAATCGAGCGGACACAATGAGGAATACATATGACCGCAATCCAAACCCACGCGTCCAAGTGAATATTATCCAAAGAGGACAACTGGAGAAGAAAATGCGGCGCCCCACCACCTACAATGCGGACGATACACGATACACACAGTAGAAAAGGTGGAGCAGCTCAATCAATTGATTTATATTCACTACTGGTAGCATGCCGCACGGGAACATCACCGCATGCACCAATCGTCACGGTGCATAGTATAGTGCACAGACAGGTCAGTAGTATATGTACACACTCTACAGCACACGCGGCCCCTTGATTGGTCATGCATTAGTGCAGGCACACACACACTACGCACATGGGAATGCGACAAAAGCGTGCGTAGAGTAGTGTTATTACTCATTTATGCCGGTGTGTTTGTGGGTGGGTAGTGTGGCATGTGTGTTGTCACTTGACAGGACGAGTGAAGCGGCTTTTCTCGCGTTCTGAGAGCGTTAATTCTTTAGTTAAACTACCGCCTTCTGAGATCGCGATTACAGCTGATTCCTTGTCTACGAACTTCGTCTCTGTTTTGCTTTGTTCTATATTTTTATGCCTTTCATGCATTTATGCTCTTAGCATGCTACGATTCCCGTGTTAATAGTTATTCTGGTTTTAGAAATGACTGGATGGTCGCGAGACGCTAACTTTCCTTGCCTTACCGACGAATTTGCGATCTGGAGGTCTTGGTGTTTATCGAAATCGTGATCTTGGAACTGACTGAAAATGTCTTCCGCGTATCGTAGCCTGTGGGGCGTGCCTTCGCTACGGTGTATGTGCGTAGACAGGTCTGGTCGCTTTGCTTCAGATTTTGTGGCCAAGAAGCGTGTAGAAATTCTGTAAGATTTCATGTTAAAGCTTTTGAAAATGGTGACGGCCTAATTTTACTAATCGGGCGCCGAACAGCCAGTTTGTAATGGTGTTTACCTGTGGAGGTTGGGTGTCTGTTTTACTCCCTTTTTATCTGTCCCACATAGTTGACAGGCGGGGATGGGGCGCGACTAGGTGACTGTGGCGTTACTCACGGAGCACTCCCTGAGAGAATAGGAAAATCGATAAGCTTGCGCGCACGGGCGGACGTACGTGGTTGCGTCCTCGCGTCCGCTCTCTGTCGCGTTGTCGATCGATAGGGCAGCGTTCACCGCGCAAGCCCAGCGGTCGGGTAGCGTGCGGAGGTGGCGACATCGTGAGTTTGTAAGCTACGCTTTGAGATGATAAATTGCGCCCACAGGGTGACAATGGCGTGCGTCTGCCCAGGACGTGACTGTCTACCACGCGGCGGGTCATAAATGCAAACATCCGGCTCCTGTCTGACCTCTATCGGGGCGTTTTGTGTCCTTCCTTACGGAAACGGCTATTCGGGGGAAAATTATGATGTTAGGCTCCCGGAAGTGCCATTTTGTCATTTCTCTTTAGTTTTTTGAGTGCAATGTGGGGAAGTTGCAATTAAGCTCTCCAAACACCTAACTTGGTTATTGGTGAGCTCCCCTGACAGCGTACTCTGTCGGAGGGACAATTTCTGTTCTTTTGTTACTATAGTGTCATAAGAAAGTTCTACTATGCCAGCTAGGCTGATAATGAGGCGCGCCAATGTTTTAAGTTGGAAAATATGGTGTGAAATTTAGGTGAAGCTGATTTTGAAGGTTAGCACCTTCTCCGACATTCCTGTGTGGTGTATTCCACTTTATTTTTCTTTACTGCAACGCTGGCACTCTATTGAAGCACCGTAGCGTTGACAACCACAAGTTTTCTTTTCATTGTGGAGATAATGGATCGACGAGTGTAGTGTCTGGATGCTAAGAAACGTTAAGTTGTTTGTCGGTATACGTCACGCATATGTGACGCAAGTAGCGGACGTTATTCGGAGTTCAATCATGCACCTAATCAACACAAGTATTTAGCTAATCTCTACAGCTGAAATAATTCAATATGTATAGTTCCATGTTGTCTTCACAATTTCAGCATTTCTGCTCAGACCTGCATACACAGCCATAGAAACACACAAATGGAAGCTTACGTGGATGCACAAAAAAGCATGATACAGAGGTCACTGAAGTTCACGCAAATTCAACAGTTCTCGTCAAAACATGAAATTAGAAGGAGAACAGAAAGTTGCAAAAAAATTCTCCAATCCACAAACATCTCCGTGTACTTACGTCAGCGCCTATATTTATCCTCATTTGTTTATCCCTCTTTCTCTTCACCTCAAGGTGACCTTAACGGTGGAGGAGGGTGAGGGGGCCGGTCATTTCAAAGTGCATAAGCCAAAGAGAAAATTATAGCGATTAAAAATAACACAGAAGTCATTCGGAGGTGAAAGGCACACGGCACTTCGACCACTGTTGTGAGGCCTGGTGGTTAGCGCATCTGCTACCAGTTTTGAAGCATCTCAAAATTGCCTTGCGGACAGATTAGTTGTATTTAGAACACTAAAATGGATGCATGATGTTCTGTGTCTGCGAAGAATGTCAATTTTTAGTGTTTTAACAGTGTAACTTCAAGTAGAACTACCCCCTGTGAGTTGGTGTAGTTTGATTTCCTCTAAGGCAAATCCTAGTTGAAGACGTGTCACTTGAGATGAAGGTGACCTTCCAGCAAATTGCCCTGATCAAACGCCGAAAGCCACTTTGAAGGAGAATATTTCAGGTGCAAGTTAATGTCTCGAGATTATACGTGGATTAGACTCCGGTGTGGCCAAAACATTTTACAAATCTATTTGAAAAATTGGTTAGAAATCTGAAAAAAAAACATTTCAAAAAGCGGTTTTAATTTGGCTGACTGGTAACCATAGCGATTTGGTTCTCTGTTTAAGTGTATGCTAAGCTGCGCGGGCACTTTGTTCTCCGCAAGTTCGGCTTCCGCCCTGCGTGCATGACCTTCAACTTGTGCCAATGGCCTTCCAGACCGACAGGTTCTTCGTTTGCTACCTTGGTTTGTTACGCCTTCAGTGAGGACACGGAGCGCTGCATGATCTGCGATCCAAATAATGCGTGCCATAGACAAAACGTTGGCTAAGTTGATAGGTTATGCCAACGTCAAAGCTTGTAGAACGAATTTAAACCACGGAACGTGTTTCTATGGTCAATTTGGGAATTTTGTACAGATGGAGCAACTTAAACCTGTCATGTTTAGCTGAAAAGGCGGAAAGGTCGCAAATTATTGTGCGGTTGATTTAACGTGAATTAGGTGGGTTATAATCTTCAATACTGCTCCTGCAGGTCGAACATGCGGAAAAGAAACTGACTCAAGCTGAGCCGGACAAAGTTTAAAACTCACTTAAATTATGGCCTCATGATGACGTGCCTTAGCCGTACCTAAAGGCTCTATAAATTCCATACGACTGAATAGAGCTTGACAATGAATCCAGAAGGGTGGTGGTTGAAGCCTTCGAGGAGCTAAGGCTCCGTATTGACAAGAAGACAACCGAAGTAAGCAGTATCCTCATGCGGGTATTCAACGCTTCGATGTCAGTTAATCGTTGATGGGAGTTAACGCTCGAACAGTTCCAAAGAAGTTGTTGGTGTGTGCCAGTCCGGGTCTGGTAGACATCAAAACGTGCACATCTGGCCCTCCTTCAAAGTGGAAGGACGAAGAGCGCTTAAATTCCACTGAAATCGTCTTCTGATGAGTATTAATTTATCGAAAATGTTTAGAAAACCCTGAAGAAGCAATGCATTCCTTTTTTCTGTTGTGGAAACACAAGGCCGATTCTCACAACTTTTTCACTTAAAATAAGCTTAAAATTTTGGATGGAGATTTAATCCTTTACGAGGAATCTCACAGAAAGTTATGAGAATAAGAGTAAAATGTGGGTTTACCACCAGTTACCATTCTTTGGGAGAGAAAGACGAAATGAGAGAATGGTATCCGGATGATAATTTCTACAGTCATTTGCCGCCAGGACCTGATTTACAGCATTATTTGGGTAAAATTAACAGGCATTCTTGTATCCCGGTTTATGTACTACCGGTTAGGAAGAGGGTCTACTAAAATAGACCAGTTTTTACAGGAACCCAGGTTCCCCTTCGATTGGGCGCTGTTTGAACAACCGGAAACACGAACGCACGTACGCACCCATCCGTACCCGCACATGCATGCACGCACGCATGCAAAAGGATGGCTGCGCACACGCAAGCCGGTCTGACTCATCCCCACCCGCTATGCAATCCTTTGATCAATAAATCGATCTAGCGCTAGGCAAGCGGTTACCCTACCACAACCACATAGGCGCACGCTAACTTACGAGCTCCGTCCACACAAGCAGTTTGATGACAGTGCCAAAAATTACGTACCCAGGCGTAGTTACAACCGCTGACTTTGATATCCAGTCCGCTCTTCCGAAAACCGACGACAGGCATTCCGCGCCCCTCTCTGCCCAAACCATGACTACACATAATGCTACTACTCAATGGGCCTGAGTCATACAGCGAGAGATGACGGGGCGGGAGTAGACACCATATTTTAAGTCGTGTTAGTACAGGTTCTCCCTCTCTCTCCATTATCCGTGTTTTTACTACTGGGTCAAAGCATCTTCACCCAACACCATCCCCACAGCCTGAACGGTAGGGAAGCTCGTAGATGCTGGTGGGTAAAGGGGGTTATGCTGTCCAGAAATGGTGCGTAAGCTGTCCTTTTGTTTATCGGATGTTGAGGTTTAGGCTTTGGACACGGGCCAGTGAATGGGTTACGTAGATTAGGGCTAACGATTTAGTAACTCCAAAAGCATCTAGGACGCTGGAAACTGGAAATAGCCTGGATGTAAGCGGGAGAGTAAAATGGGTAGCACAGTAACGAAATGCTACCACTTTGTTTTGCGCCTGCCGCCTTGGCATACGAGTGATCCATTCTCCGCGTTGTTGGAACATTTTCTATCCCAGGGAGAAGGCTCCTGAATTTTTAACAATATTGGTGCCTCCCAAAGATTCCGTTGTGGCGAATCGAGTTGAAAATAATTCTTTAGGACTAGACAGGCGTCAAGGGGGCGATTAAATTACAATTTAACTGACAATGTTGAGGGGATTAATCCGGATTCAAACGTCTTTGCCCAGACATTTACTTGTGTCGTGCTCAGATCTGCAAAACGTAGATTGTTGCCAGATATTCCACATGCGTAGCTCATTCTTCCTTCAATCTTTCCTACATTTGCATTCCATAGCTTTCACTTCAGTGTTGCGCAGTAAGCCGTCACTTTGCTTGGATGAAAATTTTCCTTGGAGCATCATATTTTTCACAAGGCATAAAATGTCTAGAACCGAACCCTGAATTCAAGGTACGAAAGTGTGGATATTTAAGCCGATTTAAAGTTTTTCTATGACCTCTTACAGAAGGCGGTTCCCCGATTGCGCAAGAAGTTGGAGACAACAACTTCTATGCTGTGCCATCTGCTATCAAACTTACAAGATCGTGAATTACCGATGACTGCACTGTCGATGGTGACTTTTCTAATCAAACATACACAGTTCTCTGCAGGAAAATGTTTTTATTTCTGGAAATCGTTTACCCTTATTTCCCTCATTTTCAGTGTCTTCTCTCTTTCAAAAATACAGTGTTGGGACCAACTGCCATTTTCCTATGGCAATTATACCAGCGATTTTTGAATCCTGAGGCGAAGATTTAAAAGCTAAAACTCAGTGCTCAAAAATTTCGCAGCCAAATAAAACGAGTGCCCTTGTTCTTACTGATGAAGAAACGCACTACTGAAATCATAAGTAGCGTGTTACTGTTTACAGAAAGTCACAGTTAACACCAAAATGGGAAAGTGAAAATTAATTTTTTTAAAATGAAACTTCACGTCGATATTCGCGAATGCTAATTTATGCAATTAGAACAAAAGACCGGTCCTATATCCTACTTCATACTACTTATATTCTGAAAGAGTAGTCTTATCCCAGAGATCAAGGAAGGGCTAAATGTTCACTTTATGCAGTCAAGTTGATAAATTTCGGCTTAAACAAACAATTCGACGGAAGAGTGAGATCTCACCAGTTGATACCATTAAACTGTATTCTTCATGTAACAAAAGGAGCAGCTTTGTAAAACCCCTTATAGAATGAAGCAATCTTCACTCGAAATCCATACATAATCTATCCCAAGAAGATATAAGCTTGCTACGAAATTCGCTTTTTTTAAACACATTGCCTCAAGAAGCAGGAAACCTGTTCTACTACCCCTTTGACTCTTACAAAAAATGTGATGACAATCACTCTTAGAAATGCCAGAGGAATGTTGAGGATGAGAATGAAGCGGTATCTATCTTTCGACCATCTTAACTTAAGTGTGCATATCTTCTCACAAGTCTATTTGGCAAGTGCATGAGGTAGGAAGGCCATTCGTGGTCTGGTTGGCCAACTTTGCGACATAATTACTGAGCATACAGGTCTGGTGTCTAGTGGATGTGCGGACCACCCCACACACACACACAGGCACACACACGTAAAGGGAGCCGACATGGTGTTTTGGGGATGGAAGAGTGGTTGGCCCTTCTGTGTAGAGTGTACAACAGGGTAGTACATGGAATGGTTTGGGGATAGCCATTAATAAGCTCGTTTCCTTAATTTAAGCTAGAGTAAAGTAGGAATGGCATTTCTCATCTCAAGTCAATCAGGAAGCACGACACATTCTTGTCCCAGAGGTGAAAAAGGGCAAAGAAATTGTTAAAATTTCAGGCTTAATGTATGCCATCCATCAAGAGATGTCCTACAGGTGGGACTCGTCTACTCAATGTTCCCTTCCATGATGTCATAGATGTCAACTAACTCAAATTATTTAATGCCTTCCTGAGTGGTACTTGCTGCCACTGGATACTCCCTCTCTTCCTCAATAAATGCTGCACATTGAATTGTTCACTATGCTTTTAAAGCATTCAAACTGGATTAAACTTGTTTGAAGGGGTAGACAAGTTAGAAAACATCATTTTTCCGTTGCGTTTGATGAGCGTCTAAAGTACTAGGTAAACATTAGAGAGTACACTATGAGGTGAATTATTGTACCGGTAGAATACATTCACATAATTACAGGCACTTGACAACACCTTGCACATTTTTGTCGTCTGGTTACTGTGCTATTATTAGGTGGGACTTGAATGCCATGTATTTTCCACTCAGTAGCCTTTTCTTTTCAGTACCTGCAGGAGGCTTATTGTTCTCTTTGCGTTATGGAGTTAAGTGCCAAAATGACACGCCTAACAGTTCATAATCATGATTCTTTGCCATTTTTCTAGGTGCTCACTTTTTAAAACCGAAATATGCCAGAAGCGCTGACAGTCTGACAGCATGGGTGGCGTGAGGCTTTGACACATGTCTCGTGGAAGACTGACAAGTCTGCAATAGCAGTGTATGCCACTCAAGTCGACATTTCTGCAACACAACCCTCGACCTCCATTTAGGATCTTCCGCAGTCCATACAGTGTAGTCGGAGGCTCTAAAACCACTCCCCAAGCACAAAGAAAGATCACGGAATGATTTTGCATCATTGAATTTCGTCGGTTTTACTGGGTCTATCCATCATTTGAAATTGGTTGTAATGTTTTTTTTTTATGAGAAAGGACAATGTTCTACGTTGAGCGCACCTTTTATACCAATCGCTTTATCGAACAAAAAACACCACATCCTGCATCTCATCTCTTTACCACTCTGTAGGTATTTCAGTGTTACTTAACCGCCTACTTGAGTTTTCCTTTATTTCATACAACTTGGAAAGGCATCAAATCCTCAAATCATGCACTTACATCACTCATTTTACATCGCTCCTTCTAGAAAATTTTTTTAAGGACGATTTCAAATCTTTTAAACCCGGTAATGCTCTTATAATGGCCTCTAATAAGATCTCATGTCCCAAATCCCATCCAGTTAGTAACCGAGGTTAGTTCGTCGTCTGTTCCACCAGTCTTGAAGCACATTCTTGTCAGCGCAAATTGCAAATAGTTAAAAAGGCCAACACAAACATTTGCTTGGCTGAGGCGGGCTCGATCTGCCAAATCTCAATTAATCCGTTCTAACTAATGGCATCCTCAAGTCATCTACCATCCGATAGGCAATTATTCCGCCACAAAACATATTACTCAGTTAATTTTAGTAAAAAATCAGCCCCCTTAAGCATGGGTATGGTTTAAAAAGGACAATCAAAAACATTAGTAAGTAAAAAAATGCCTTCAGTTATGTTCTGCCTACTTCTCACACGCCAAAATCCAAAAGTGTGCAAGCTAAGGCAAAACGCTTACTTACGTAATTTCAGTAACAAGTAAAACAAACGGCGGAAGTTGGAACGACTCTGGAATAGCAACAAGTGCTTTCAATTCAGGCTCATTTAAGCCGTCAGATTTGGGCAACTTTAATTAAGAGACAAGCACAGGTGTTTAAAATTAATAGTTCCTTAAATTTCTATAAGTCAGGTGTTAACCCACCTAAGCTAAGATGATTCAATAATTGTGCCTATTTTTATGGGTCATGCACAGCGAATTGAGTTTTTTATAGTGCATTTTAAAACAGTTTGGCATTAATAACCAATATTTTCTCTATTTTTTAAAAAAGAGATGAAAACTTTGTCAAAATGGCTTTTCAGGGATCGTTTTAGGTGTTACAAAAAGTGCAATTTTTGAGGCAAGCCGAGGTCATCAAAGCACCGTCCATTTGCCATAAATGCGTGTTTAGAAAGCAACAGATATTCGTAAGTTTGCTTAATAGAAAGGGATTTGGAGGAATTCATTTAAGAACATGTTTCTAAATAGATCACTCCACAGAACAAGTAGGCCAAAATTCTAGAAAATTTGATGATTTTATTCCGCCAATCTCATGTCTTGCAACAGCTAGGGTAACCGCGTTATTACTCAGTAGGTAAAAGCACTCCCAGTTGTTGGTCTTTTGTATCATGTCACTTCGCATCACATCGTGGCATTTGCAACACAAGCGATCTAAGCTCATCTAAGAAGAGAAGCGTAGAGAGACAATTTGCACAAATCTGCAAGCAGGTGGGAACAGAAGGGAGAAGTTGCTAATCATCAAAACGAATCAGTTCAAGCCAAAGTAAGTAGATTGCACTGAGGCACCACTTTGTAGCTGCTGTGTTGCCAGTTTTAGCGGTGACTGTTAATGTGATGCAGCTAAAGCTACTGTTGTCAATGCCTCGGTTAACTTGAGCACCCATCAATCAAACACACACATCTTGGCACCGAATTTTGTCACAACACATCTTAGGCATTTCTCTGTCACCATTCCTATCTTGTATCTTCACGACACTGCTACGTGCTGGTTACACCGTTGTTGTTGAATTGTTAAGTCTTTGAAGATAAATTGCATAGTACCATTTTCTTATTTACCAAAACCCCTTTCCACAAAATTCTACTTTATTTTCTACATCTAAAAAAAGTTGCTGGTACTCATTCCTCGGTCGATTTTATTGCCACACCACTCAATGCAGTTGAGGCGTTATTTCGCTCTTTGGCATCAGCAAAGTAAAGAAGCAGGCATTCATTCAACCCCTACATCCCCGTGCATGCGTTTCCCATTAAGCATTGACGCACAAACGGGGAATTCCTTACTAGCAAGGCTGTTTCGTTGTGTCCTTTGCTAGCAACAATAACATTCATTCATTCATTCATTCAATTCCTCACTCCCTCACTGACGCACTCATTCACGCTTTACTTTCAGTGGTGCGTGTCTACGTAAATCACGTTCCTGGTTTCATATTTTATGGTAATCACTGTTCTCTTGGAGATAGACAAACCTTGCAAATGTTGTCTTCACATGATAAAGCCACCCTAAAGTCCTACTTCTGATACATGTTCGAGAAGCTGAAGAGGCTTTCTTTACAATTTGTGTTTGTCCCGTAAAATCAAGGACTGTCCCGAGTGATTGGTTGTGGGGACAAAGATGTGTAGGGCAAACCGGTGTTCAGAGAAAGACTACCAATGTGACCCGCGCCAGTTTCGTCTCAGTTTCGTTCCGATAATCGCTAGAGTCGTTAATTTGTTTTTGGGTAGATGATGTTTTTTTACCATTTGAATGGGAGTCACAACTAACAAAAAATACATCTATTAAAACACTTGAATCTGAATGCAAACTCAGCTAGCTCGGGAAGCATGGTGTGTGCTAATACCTGCTCAATTTTAGTGATGGCACAGAGTAGAAACCACACACACTTCTACACGTTGATTGGCTGATGGTGCTCACTGGTGTGCGTTGAGGCTCTCATATCGGCACTAAGGTGGTTAGTTGCGGCATCTGCACACAGGAGAAAGGACAATGGGGTTATTTTTCTCTAAATCCTCAAGCAACACCAATGAGAACGCAGGACAAGAACATGAGACCATGTTCCAGCAGTTCACGAACTCCATCCGTCGTTCATTTCGCTCCAAACGGCCTGATGCGGATAATGCTAATCGACCCGGTCTGCATAATCAACCCTCAGCCGAAGAAATGACAAGAACGACAACTCGAGTGCGTCCACCCATACCAGAAAGCTTCCATCAACCGACCGCTGCATCTGTTTCATCCGTGACAGCTTCCAAAGAGATTTCGGAACAGCCTGCTAAATGTCCTACTCCTGCTGAAGCCAAAGTTTCGACACCAAAGACACTAGAAGTGGCACCTGCTAGCGCAAGGATGGTGGAAGCACCGCAGCATACTGCTTTCATTCCCGAAACACCAAAGAATTTGAAAGGGGATAGGGAGAGGGAGGGAGAGGTAGATGCAGCATTGGATGTGTTAAAAGGGGCCATTCATGAGAGAGAAGAGCAAGAGGAGAAGAAAGATGACAAAAAGGATGAAGAAAAAGACAAACTAAATCATGTGGGAGGTATCCTTTCCCAGTTAGCACCAGCCGATATATCTGATGAGAACTCGCCTGAGACAGAAGCACCTGCGAAGCCAGCAGTGAGTCTAATGGCAGCACTGGAGAGGCGAAAGGCGATAAAAGAACAAAAGGAAAAGGAGGAAGAGGAAGATGATGAAGAGGAGAAAGAAATGCCCCTTTCACATGGAGTGACCAATGTGTTAGAAAGCATAGCTGTTCACTCATCATCCATTAGATCACATGAGGCTGCTAACTTGATGGCAACTTTCACAATTCCACCTCATTCAGCATCGGAAGAAAAAGAAGAGGAGGAAAAGGAGGAACAGGAAGAGGAAGAAGACAAGAAAGAAAGTGAGGAGATGGTAAAGGAGGAGTTAGAAGATAAAGAAGACAAGAAAGAAGGTGAGGAGAGGGTCAAAGAGGAGTTGGAAAAGAAAGAAGACAAGAAAGGTGTCGAGGAAAAGGAGTAAAGTGGAGGGACGAACGTCTATTCAGAGTTATTTACCTGCCTATTTTATGTCCACCGTACTTTTGCCTATAATCTATATGTAGCCGCTTTTCCGCCCTTTTAAACTTTTTTCTTTTGTTGTTAGTTTAGGGGGATTAATTTTACCACAAGAGAAGGAGTCATATCTTAGGCGGGGCCTGATTTGCTCGATTAGATTAAGCCTTAAAATGACCTCATGAATACCCTTTATTCCAAGTGTTTTTCACTTTAGTTAGCTTTCCATCTCTGCAAGGGTCTTTTTCAAGCTGCAGCGGTTTAACACGGATGATTAACAAGACACTATGCAGTCCTTTCTACCCCGGATTTGCTATGACTTGATGGGTGCCATAACCCCACGTGAGAAGTTAGCTCTCAAGCAGGTAAGGCTAATTAAAAGTGCGTAGGGAAAATAACGATTAAAAAAAACAGCAGAATCTAAGGCTATACACAGCATGTTAAACAAGGGAATGCAACAGTTTGAGTTGGTATATAAACCTGCAGGGGTAAAGACACTCGAAGGCACTGCGACTGAGGCGGTTCAGGAAACCGAAAACCAAGTCCTCGAGGTAGTTTAGACACTTAACTTGACACAAGGAAAGTGGATAAAAACCTTATTGTTGTAGTCAGTGAGACTATGCGGTAGCAGAATAGTGACACGCAGGCGCCTGTTTAGCAAGATCCGCAAAAACAAAAATTTGATCATTTTTACAAAGAGGATGGGAGATGTTCAATTATATGGGTGTAGAAGCAGTCGCAATAGCAACTGCCGCGTAGTATTCGGAGTTGACTTGCTACATGAATTGGCATAGTGACATATGGGAGCATACAAATGCATGCCATTGTCTGCACACACACACAAACTCCACCACGGTGATTCCGTGGATTGGTGTGAACCAGTCTCTCCCTACAGTGGTCATTGCTGCACTCTTTGCTACACTCTCCTACTCTCAACTTGCTACCTTGTCATAACTTGTCCATCTGGTGGCACTATTCAGTCTCGTTTGCATCCAACTCTGTCCCACAGCATTTCGAGATGCTGTAAGTGAGGTGTGTGATGGGTGGTCTGTGGTAGCAGAACCTGACATCCAGATACAAGTTAAATACATTGGATTCGAGTTTGGTGATGACTCCACTCACTCAAGGCGAAGTGCGACGCATTGTGTAAGAAGCCTGCCCCTCAACACCTCACACAGTCCTGCAAGGTGTAGAGCACAACAACAACACAACAACAGCACAACAACAATCCAGTTGTACCTGAGAAATGTTAATCAACGTTGACTGGTAAAGTGGATGTGGAAGCTACCAAGGAAAGTGGCTGCCACCTGCATGACATCTGCCGAGGGATGCCATAGTAACAGTCCGAAATGTCACCAAATCGACCTTACAGACTGACCGACTGACTGAATGACTATGATGAGGGATGGCATTCGTATTTTATTCTACCATGCCATCACATGTTCCAGCTCATTCACTCACCGCTTTACTACGCACGTCTTACTTCCCTGGTGCGCACCACTTCATTCATGCAGCACTATCCTCGCCTTTCCAACCACCCCTTTTCTCTGTGCGTGCCTGTTTATGCCTGTGTTGTGAACCACAAATGCAACCATTCACCATGACTCACCCATTTGCTGACAATTTGATAGCAGACCCTCACTCTGACGCAGGCACCTCTCACATCCCTGCTTCCTGCACCATCACCAAATGTATCACAACTAGAGTTAGTCACGCAGCACCAAGTTAGTTTTACCTCTACGAAGTAGTGTGAGACCTCACACCTTATGTAGTAGAAAAATTTATCTGTGGAAATATTTTCACTGGAATTTAAGAACAAAAAGAAGAGGCTACTTCACATGACCCTCGAGTGTGCGAGTGAGACCTCCCTTTCCGAAGGCTATAAAATCCCAAGACTTTACACGGAACCGAGTGGACAGTTGGGAATTAAGCGGGGTGGAAGGGGGGTGGTTGCAACAAGAATGTTTGCTTCCAGGGCCAAAGCATTTAATGGAATTGATAAAGAGAAAGACCTGTGTATTTTACAACACATAACCTTACCTTAACCTACGCTACATCATTGCACTTTACTATACTGAATTATATTTAAATGTACTGTATCATACTGCTCAGGAACCCACCTGGCTGTCTTTTTGGAACACGAAGACGTACCCAACCTCGACGGCGTTGCTTGCAAAATGATTTCTTTGGACAGTTTGTGTTTATGGAAAAACGTCAATAGTCACAATTCTGTCGGGTGTTCCTCCTACAACCAAGTAACGCATAGATCGTACTTATTCTGAAGCGGTCTAAGTGACTAAAGTATTCGCGTATTAAAATGTTAGTCGAATCAAAAGTATTTTATTGTGGTGGATTTAATGAAGGGAGAGGGGGGAAGATATCATTTGTGTTATTGAAAATTTTTGGTATTTTTAAACTAAATTGGAGAGGTTGGTCAAATCTGTTCCATTGACACCTGAAAGTAGGATCCAAATATGCAGTCGCTACACGTAGTCTGAAGATATGATACTCTCCTTCCTATTATCGCTTTTGGAGGAACATCGTCCAGTCGTCAGAACCATCCCCCCATACATCTCTTCTTGCATAGGTTGCAATATTCAGAAGCCTCAAACAGATGCAAATTTTATTATCACCTTTGATCCCATTCCATTCCGTAGTAGATTACTCTTCACACAGATCCGTTTCGATCGAGGTGGAAGAGTGGTCACAAGGAACATTGGAAAACTCCTTGAAGTTTTTCTTATCATACATTTGACTATTCTAGCACTAAAGTCTTGTGTTTAGCTTTCCGGCTGTGTTGATAGCCTTCCAAGCATCTCTACTTTAGTAAAAGACTTGAACCCTCCACTTTAAGAACTCCAAGTATAGGCCATCTACATCATAGTAATCTTATAAAGTACTTTATTTATAACGAATTTCAATCATTCCTGTAAAACACCTTTGCAGCCCTAAAATCATTGATTAATGAGAAATGATTCTCCCTAGAAATTCAACTAACCACTCTTTGGTATGCTTTCAACAAATAAGACAAAAATATTGAATAAAAGAACTCCTTTTAAAGCCATTTTTTATCAAATACAAATAAGCCTAAAAGCAAATAAGTTTGTTAAGTATAATTTATATGACAATTAAGTTTTATGAGGTATGTGAAATTAAGTTGACAGGTTGCATCGTTGCCACCATTGCCAGCAATCATTGTAAGGTTCAATGCTAATTTATGCTAGCTTAGGCAAAAAAGTTTTGTTTATTTTAACTTACGCCTTTCCTGTGCAGTTTGAGGCGTAAAATCAAGATTTAAGGATGAGTTATAAAATGGTCTTGATTGTATATACCCCGCCTCCAGTTGCTAAGGTAACCATACTGTCAACTCTTTGTTGTAAAATTTATTTAAAAGTCGTTCCAGGTAAGAGAGAAAAAAGGCCACACACGCACATACTTTGGCACTGACACTTGTCACAACACACCTTGACTCTCGATCCGCCCCGCGTCAATGATACGTGTTAGTGACATCGGTGTTATGGCATTGGCAAGACTTTTAATTTGAATCACAAAGCACCGTTTTTTTATTCACCAGGTTCTTTATGAATAACAGCCTCGATCTCTACATCATGAAAAAAGGATGTTGTTACTCTCTCGCTAAGTCTTCCGTCGTTTTGATTGCCACATCGCTAAACACAATCGGGTTGTCATTCTGCGCTTTGACATTGGGAGCCATGGAGAAGCAGACATGCACTCATCTCCTCACATCTTTGCCCATGAATTCCCCACCAGATTTTAATGCGCAAATGAGAGTTTCTTGCTCACAAGATGGTCCTATAAAAATCATCCAACTTTGACAGTAACATGACATTCATTCACTCACTGACGCACTCATCCACTCCTCACCTCCAGTAGTGCGTGTCTATGTATGTCACGTTTCTGGTTTCATATTTTATGGCAATCACTAGTCTCTTGGAGATAGGCAAACGTTGCAAATGTAATCACTGGCGTTTGATTTAGGTGGAAACTATTTCTACCAGTTCAGTGTAAAGCATATCCTACAATTAGATTCCCTATTCTCTTGCATTCCCCTTGGCCGAAACATTTGTAGCCGATTCCGGAGGGGGACTAGGTTAATGTTTTTTTATAAATAGAACATAAAATACTTTTATTTAGAGCTTTGAACAGTGCAAAATCGGTAAATCTTTCCCTGCCGTAGCAATCCGCAAGGCGAATGGAAATGCTGTTTGATGAAATTTATGAAATTCAACATTGACTTTAAATGCAAACGTCTTTAAGCCTCCGCCTTCTTTTGCCCTCGGCGTCCTCCTTCTTCTGCTAGTGATTTGTCTTCCTTCATGATAATATGGCTTACCACGACTTCGGTATGGTATCAGGGTCTTTTTATATCTCATAAAGCCGCACTCAACTTAACTGTGCTTTCAAAGACTGAACCCCCTTCCATTAATGAGTTTTTCCACAGGTAACCTTCACGATACATTGGTGAAAAGTGTAGTCGAATTTGCTCGAAGCTTTGTAGCAACTCTCACTAATGCTTATAAAAAGACTTACATCCAAATGAAACAACTGAGTTAGGTTAAGGGAAGGAAGTGGAGGGGAACTGCTGATCCTCTTCTGTTTAAAGATAAAGGGAGTAAAAACGGCACTGCCTTCTTGACAATTCCCCCACTTTTTCTATTTACCATATCTTTTTATGGAACAAGACCACAAGTGAACTAGTTCAAATCTTCCTTCATAATGTTAAGGCAGAAAGGGTGAAAAATGTGGAATAACTGAGAATGTGACACAGGCTCAATGTTGAAATGTACTAGGAATAGATGGAGTAGCTTGGAAGTGGCAACTAATTTCACGGGTGGAATAACATTTGGACGAAATTGCAAAGATCTGCCTCCCCCTGTTTTTATCATTGAATAAAATTTCTCTTTTCGCCTGATTAATGGTTAAGTCCAACGCCATTGGCATTTGATTCCCCTTTTGGAGCAGTGCTTTACTCAACTTTTCTTCATTTTTACACCTGACAGACATCAGGACAGCGGCCTATCACAGAAAATCAACGATGAGTTGCTTGCGGTAATCCGAGCACCTTGTACCATCAACCACTACACGAGAAGTATTTAAGAGCTCCAGAAAGAGCACTTCAGTGATCTGACTTTTGGAGCACCAGAATCACAAATTTGACCCGCTAAAAATTTGGCTAGCTTCATTCTAGTGAAGTGCATGAATTATTAAAAAGGCGGTAGAGAGGAGAGTTAACACACTTTACTTGAGCTATCAAAGTTTGTCACACTTAAGTAGCTAATAAATTTTAATGCTTAGGCACCTTGCCGGGCTTTTCCTGTATTAGTGATAGTCAAATTGTCATTTGAATATCTGTGACTGTCACTTGCCTACTTGAGAATCTGTCAATCTCCCTATTACTTTTTCATTCTTAAGCTCAGGAACAATTAAAACTTTGCGGTTTTGTGCATTTGCCTCATTCCCCTTGTTTGAAACCACCTTATGTTCGTTAACTGTTGGAGGAACACTCGGCGGACTGTGACAGTTGACGTTTTTTCATGAGTAGAATCTGCTGGCAAACTCATTCACTAGATAACGCTGTAAAAGATGTGTACCTCTTCGTGTTTTAAGAAGACTTATTTAGGTGGATTTTTGAAGAATGTAGTAAAGTATAGCATAGCTGAGTTGGATATAGAACAGTGTTGTAAAGTGGGGTAATGTAGGATATGGCAAGATACGGTTGTTTGATGCAGGAGGCACAAGCCTCCTAATTTATCCACTTCCATTAGACGCTTTAAATCTAAAACCAAACACGCCTGTTGTGGTCACCTCACTTTCTTCCAAATTGCCTCTTCTGTCTCGTGTGTGAGCCAGAGAGTGTTTTGTTTCTCCAAAAGAAGTTTATACGCGTACTCATTGGCTGGAAAACACGAAGGTGATGCATGAATTGGCCAGAGGTGTGCTAAGTTTAAGCCAGATTAGGCAGCCTTTTTCCTTCTTAAACTCGAGCTCAAATATAACCACGAATATTTTAAGCAGCTGTATTAGATGTGAGATCTCACACTGCTTTGCAGTGAAAGAACTAGCCTACTACCCCGTGACTATTCCCAGCAGTGATGCCTGTTTCTCATGAAAAAGCTGACCTTGCAAACCCTTCACTTGGAGTGTGTAAAGATGGGAAATGGGGGGTGTTGGAAACAGAGTGAAAGTCGGCTGTTGAAATGTCAGCAAGTGAATGATTGTATGGTGAAACACTGTATTTGTGATCCAATGAATACACATACATACACACGTATACACATACACGTAGAGAGAGAGATGGAGGAAGATGGGGAGGAAGGCAGAGGATTGTCGTGGGAAGGAAGCGGAATCCACCATAGAAGTGAGAATTGAATAGTGGAGTAGAGTGAATGGTTTAATTATAAACGATGGAGTATACATTCGCCTAAAGGGATTTGTAATAAAGTGCGAAGGACTTCCTTCAACACAAGTTAGTCAGTTAGTCAGTCATTCAGTCGGTCCGTCGGTAAGGTCGATTTGGTTACATTTCGGACTCTTACTATGGCATCCCTCGGCAGATGTCATGCAGGTGGCAGCCACTCTCCTTGGTAGCTTCCACATCCACTTTACCAGTCAACATTGATTAACATTTCTCAGGTACAACTGGATTGTTGTTGTGCTGTTGTTGTGTTGTTGTTGTGCTCTACACCTTGCAGGACTGTGTGAGGTGTTGAGGGGCAGGCTTCTTACACAATGCGTCGCACTTCGCCTTGAGTGAGTGGAGTCATCACCAGACTCGAATCCAATGCATTTAACTTGTATCTGGATGTCAGGTTCTGCTACCACAGACCACCCATCACACACCTCACTTACAGCATCTCGAAATGCTGTGGGACAGAGTTGGATGCAAACGGGACTGAATAGTGCCACCAGATGGACAAGTTATGACAAGGTAGCGAGTTGAGAGTAGGCAGAATGTAGTAGAGGGTGCAGCAAGTGAACCCAGAAAACTGCGTAGTTTTTATAGTCCTCTGTCAGGCGTTATCTGAGCAGGTTTCCATGCTAAATCGTGAGAAGCTGTGAGAGTCACTGGAAAACTATTTTGCATTTCTGAACTACAGCAGTTTTTCCCTAAGCCTTCAAATCCTCCCCTTTAAGTATACTTTTAGGCGCTTGCCGTTCCCTGTGAGTAAACACAACTGCCGAACATTCTATCATGCCACGTCGATGATTTCGAATGTTGTGATCTAATTCAAGAGGTAATTAGTTTTTCAAGAAATCTTAAAAAAGTTGCTTTTGCCTTTTTACAACTGATATGCAAGCTGAAACCCTTCTGATAATAAGAATGAGACAATGAAATCATAAATTGAATTTTTCCTAAGAATTAATATAACTTGTAGGAGACATCCAAAATAAGTACGGATAGAAAGTAAAACATTTTCTTTTCACAAACTCATGTAAAAGCGTATCACGCGTTTCGCATGTTTGGCTCAGGTGAGAAGGTTGGAGCGTCACACATATGTGACAAATTTCGCTTTGAAGAACGGCATTCTGCACTTCAATTTTAAAATCGCAGCAGAACTTTCTTCGCCTTTTTCTTTTATGTCTGCTTTCCTATTCTTTCATACACGCGACCATGAAAAATGACCCTACTGGTGATAGTGATAACTCTGTCTATGGGAAACCTCTTTTGGCACTACCAATGCTACCATTTTCACTGTTAACTATAGTAATAAATGAGTGGATGTAAGTAGTACAAGTAAGGCATCCAATTGGGAAACCTTAGCCAAAATTTAAGCTAAGGTGTTTGCAGATGCAAAAAATGTTCCCGAGGCGACAAATGCCATTTCTACAGTTTGGCATCTTCACTTCCTTCCCCGGACCCATTTATGTTTGTCCCACCGCCATTGCCGTCCGCATAAAGTGAAGAGCTCATTCGCCTAGTGTTTACATTACCCAAATAAAGGAACAGATTAATAGACGTGTAAGTGGACGGAAGTACGGACAACGGACTGCCAGATGGATGCGATAGGAGATGGATAAATTCTGCGTCACAAATTAAATTTAAACTCTAACCCAGCTGCAGCCTAGGCACAGCTATGAATCGCCAAATGGTAGCCATCTCTCTCAGACCTAGGGAGTCACACATCATCGAAACAGTTGCCGAATGACACTCCCAACCTAACGACTATTTATTTGTCAGTAACTGAAATAATTGTGAAGCAGTAGTTTCAATAAAGTGCTTAAAAGGCTTTCACATATTCTTGCTTTGACAGGGTTCCATGCAAGTCAGTCAGCTGCAATCACCTGCTCCTAATTTCATTGAGCTGCCCACTTGATAATCCCAATGCCTATGTTTTACCTCCAGGTACTCCATTTGATTCTAGCCTTATTAACTATGTGCACATTCAACTTAAGATCTCTTATTTTCATACCATTTTAACACCACCTTGGCAGCATTGGGAATCTCTTCACTATCAACTCTCTGTGCAAACAAGATAATTATTCTCTCCTGACACCCGTATTCCATTTTGCAGTTCCACAAGGACCGCTTTGATAAGTTGACTAGCTTTAAAATAAATTTTATTAACATAGCAGGTCAGGCAGATCTGCTTACACCACACTCTTTGACAGCCGCCAACGCACTGAAGTGCGTGAGTGGGTGGGTAGATGGCCAAATGACTGGGGAGCGGGGGCTCAAGTAAAAGTACTACTGACATTAGAAAAGGTTTTGGAAAGTAGAACATGAAACCATGACCCAATTTGCATTTCACTGCATGCAAATTATTTCTAAATGCAAATAATGCCAGTGAGTGGGACAAAACCACCCCATCAGTTTAGGTGGAGGTACCGACTGTATCCACAAGTATTATTCATTTATTAGACAAAAGATGCAGTAATATAATTTGTCTAAAAAAGAAGGAGAAAATACAAGTTAAATCGAAGCGCCTTCAGTTGTAACATTGTCTTTCTTAGTTCACTCGTATAAACACATATACGATAAACATTCAGGTCAATTTCAACGTATATACGGCTTTCTTGCCATCGCCTCGTTATAGCTCATATTACTCGAAATTGCTGCGAAATCTTCAACATTATTCCTGCTATCCATTACTCGTCTGGGATTTCTCATCTGTGGTTCGTAGGCGGCCTCCTCATATTGCGAGTACTTTTTCACCAAATCCATCACTCCAGGCCGCCTTTCACCTCCATTCAAGCTAGAGTTGGGAAAGACGTATTTTTCGCTCACTCTTGGGTGTGAAGGTCCATTTACAACCTCTAAATAGTGATCTCGAGGTGACAACGCACCCTCCTTCGACTGCCGTTGACCCATTTTGAATGTCTGTCGGTTTAGAGAACGCACAACGTCACTAGTGTATCTTATTGGATCGTCTGATGACTTAACGGGAATTGTACTCGGGCGAGAGACTACCATTGTGGGGGGAATATAGACTTGTGAAATGGATTCCAAAGGGTCGGCGTTGTCACTCCTGATGTTGTTAAAGTTGTAAGACTGCTTTCTAGGCGACAATGTGTCAACCAGTTGAATTGGAATGTCATCCGTTCCACTGGATACCAAGTATGTCTTTTTATCTAATCGCATCTCACTCTCGTTTCGATAGTTCGGACGTAGTGGTACAGTCCTCTGTGGTGTTGCTGACCGTGGTATTGGCGCCTGTGCCTGTTGATATGGAACCACATTCCCGATAAGGTGTTCATCCAGTGGATACTGTCGCCCCGACATCGAATCCGGTGCATACGTGGAGAGACATGAAGTAGATCTATTTGTCCTACAAGTGGAGTAATGACCAACCGATCTATGCTGTTGATGCTGCCGCCTGGATGGTTGACGCCGACCCAAAGTCTGTGAATACCTTCCCACTGTATGATACCCCGGTGTAGCGACATATTGACCCAAGAAAGGATCATAGTACAGGATAGGTGGAGGAGCAGGTGGGTAAGGGTCTTGTGGTTGAGATTGTTTATTCTCCAAAACAGACCCATTTTCCGCCGGAGTGTCTAGAAAACCGGGACCTCTCACAAACACTGGTTTCGCCCAGCTATCCCAACTGTATGAGGAAAGGGGATTGTAGACCACAGAAGATGCGGACTGAGCCTTTGGGACCGGTTTCTGTCGACTAGGCGACAAAACCGGTGAGGGCGGCGATGGTGACCGAGCAGCCTTTACATCCAGAGTAGGTGGAGGTTCGGATGCTTGACGAGCACGAAAGAGCGGTTTTTTGTTGTGTTCAAATGGTGTGATGTGCTTTATATTAACCAGAGGAGAGAAAGCTGGAGGGCGGATCTGTGGTAGACTGGGAGACATAGTGATGGGGGGTTCTTTATCGCTTGGAAATTTCGGAGGTAAAGAATGGAAGACAGGAGGGACTGTGTTCTCTTGAGTGGAAAGCTTGGAACGAAGAATATCATCTGCTCGAAAGGAAGAGGATGACAGGAGAGTGACCTTTGCTGATAGTGGTGTTTCTGTTGGTGACCCAGACATTTCTATCTCTAATTGGGAGTCCCGCTTTTGTTGTTGAGATAAAGGCTTCTTTTTGCCCAGAGATTGGAAGAATTCCTTTACCTTATTCCCGACGTTAGCTGAAAGAAGGGAATTCCGCCAACGAAGTTAGATTAGGGCACCAGTTATTCGATTAATCGTGCTTCTTAAACAACCCTAATTGTGAAACGAATGTTCAAAATAAACCAGACCTCGTGATTCTCTAAAAACCTATACCTTGGCAAGAGGTGTGTCACCTTGCCATTGCCAATAGCCAGAGAACATGTTGTGCGTGGACCTTCTCAGCCACTTTTATCCAAGCCGGGTGATGATGATGTTCAGTCACAATGAGACATTTTAATGTTAAAGAGGACCGTAGGTCTGTACGTCAGTGTCTGCCACCATCGCGATTATTTCCGTCACCCTAGACACCTGATTGACCCATCATTGGTCCTACGGGACGATCGCACAAGAGGCAAATTTTTCTGCTAGAATGGAGGCCAGCATCTCACTACCGATGAAGAGGTGATGTAAGCTCTTCTAAAATGATTTAGACGTACAACTACATATATCTTTGCCGAGGCCTTAGAGATAGTTACGTAAATATACTAGAGGACTTGCCAGAAATTCAGTCATTGGCTGATCAGATGCTGCTATAATTTTCCTTTTCAACTAAAAGAATATTAGCGTGAGGAGAACTTTCCTAGTCATTAGAATCAGGAAAAAAGTACTAACCAAAAGGGAAGTAGGGCTTTCCACTGGAGAAAGTGGATAGACACGTCAACCGATTGACCAATCGTGGTCGTCCTTAATCAGCCTCAAATGTGATTCAACTACATTTTTATCCAGCATTCTCTAAATTTCTAATTTAACTTAAAGTACATACAATCAGAAATGAAAATGAATAAAAGAGGGGCCGATAATGGTGGGAGAACTGTAAATTTCTATAAATGAAATGTATTTGATTTATCATTTAACTAACCAATCGCATTACCCAACCAACCGCAGATGTAATTCAGCTGTCATATGATTGGTTCTTGATTTCATCTCTCTTCTGGTTAGACTCGTGGTTTTATCGACATATTTGTCTACTGACCATTAAAAAAAAGACAAGATGGAGGCGGAATTCAACAAAACTAGGTGGTGGATGAAATGCACTGATTCATAGTGAGTGATTCGTGATCCCGTTTGATGGCAGAAATACTGAGTTGATAGCTCTATTATGAGATTTTGCAGAAACGGACTCATTGGGCGGTCTTTAAAGTGGATCCGAGTAGTGGCAGTGTATCTATCTCTCACAACCCGTGCAGTTGTCGACACAAGCTACTTCTGTTACGTAATTAGCAATTAGTTCTTTCTTTCTCAAAAGAAGGAAATGCTGGAATATTTCTTTTAAACAAGAACTCGAAATACACAAAAATTTCTCAAAAATACACATTTGTAACCATTAAATTAATGATTGAGATGATTGGTAAGGCTAGCTAACCAATACAGAGCATTGCACACTGGCCAGTTCCCCCGACAGTCACTTCCAGGCTTGAGAAGCCATGAACCGCCTAGCATGTGGGAAGGCGACTTATACTGAGACGTGGATATATTCAAGTTGAACTAAGTGTCAACTGGCACCGAGAAGTGAAAGGCATAATTGATCAGGATGGAGAGAGTAAGGGTTACAGCATTGTGATGAAACATCTTTACAATAAAACGCCGTGGGGTGACTCGGAACAGCCTAGCAAGTTACTTTAAGAGGTAAGCTCCACAATTGTAGGTAACAGAAAAAAACAAGTAACGGACGGTATTTGTTTAATTTGTGTTTTAACAAGGTTTACTCTGGTCCATTCCGGCTTCCGTGTCTAGACTTTCACATTGGTGGCAGGAGCAATGCTTATATCATCCGTGGTGCAAGTCTTTCTATCCATTTTTATGCCACCAAAATCGTGGAGCTCGTAACGTCTTTGACAGCAGGTCAGGCATTGGCACAGACCCAGAGAATAGTAACAGCTTTCAGTTTTGTTTGAAAAATCCTGACTCTCAAGAGATTGGATGTTGACTATGTCAAGGATGCCAAAAGAGTACAATTTCATGGAAATACACAAGTCGCCTGTTTGGCAGTCTCTTAAAACTCAAGTTTTACATCATGGCAGGTAATGGGGATGAGAATGCCATTGAAGGAGTCAAATATATGCAGCTAAGGTTGAGGGGATTTTACAATCTGGTACCGCTCAATGTTAAGGAGAACTAAGATCTCTGACAGACAATTGAACGGTCATAAAACGGCCATGAAGTAGAGCGTGGCGATGAGATTGGGGCGGCGTTTCACACATCACCGTTGCTACAAACTGGCATACTTTTCCAACAAGATGCAATCTTACTGACGACTGCTCTAGTATGAAATGCCTAGTCTATGGGCAGTAAAGCGCACAGAGTAGTCTCTTGGGCATGAAGCAGTGCGTGGCTCGCAGCTGTGAAGCGGGTTGAGAGGTAGTACTGGAATAGCTGAAAAGCCAGCCAATGATACGCTCGCTCGTTCATTAGACATTGGAACGAAAGAGTACATCATTCAGTCAGCCAAAAAGACAATCTAAGAACGGCACTTTTGTGACAGAAGTGAAGGGCAAATGTCATCTGCTAATGCATAAAACGTGGGGAGATAAATTTGCGTAGAAGCTTACATCATGGCTTTCTCATTTTGTGTTACAGTTCTAAACAAGCTACTTTTGAGTTGGTCCAATTAACGCGATCAAGCCATTCTTCAGGATCAAGAGCAAGGCACGTTATAGAACCAGATATATACAGCACTGAGTGATACATCACCAGGTTCGACACAATCCCTAAATGACATACAACAGATTATACTAGAGGTCGAATTCCGGTTGAATTGGGTTCGTGGATTGGATAAGATCCATTCCTATTAATTAAGTCTAATCGAGGGGGATGGCAGAGAGCACTAAAGGAGGTACCGCATAGGCATACTGACTTATGCGTGCCCATAATTTGTAAGGCGATGCATATAAACATCCGCGTACTCTTTTGCATGGTCCTACAATTCGCACCAAGTCGTTGGAAATGAAGCATCTTCCAGTCTTGAGAGGAACACCATCACCAGCCTTGGATTTAAAAGACTTCTGATCGGTGCAGAAGGGTAATAACCGGAAGTACTGAGGTTAAAACATTAAAGAAGAGGGGAGCTGTGAGCCAAAATAGTGACCCTACTTAGGGCATTATGACTGTCTAAAGGAAAACTTGACAGCTATCCTCTTTGGCATTCGAGGTCAATGGTTTAAGCTTCTCTACTGTGGTACCCCAAAAAAATCTCAACAAAGAGACATTTAAAAAGTTTCATATAAGTATAAGTCTAGGATCCTGTTGGGAACACATCCTTTGATCAAACGCGGACCCTATTAACATCAAAGCAACCCCTTCAAAATAAAGGCGACACCTCTACATTTCGGCCGGTTACAAATGGTTGAGTAAATACGCTACAAATAATCCAAATTTTTATAAGTAAAGCTTTTTTGGACAAACTGCCAACCTACCAGGTGTATGAGGTTCGAGTAAAAGCCATGGAGTTAGGATTAATGGAGGGAAAAAAAGGCGACTCAGGAGAGGTATACCAAAGGTCAACTTAAACCATCACTCGATTCTTGGTTTTTTCCTCCCACTTGTTGACAGACTAATTAGTCGTCAGTACGTACTCCTCTACTTCAAAGCTTTTAACTTGAAGTAAGCACCATCATCAGCTATTCTGTAGGCCACATCGGCGCTATTTTGCAGTAGAATTACCGCTGCTTTTACGTAAGACAAATAGAAGGCAAAGAAATTCATTTTTATGGGGTCATAAAACTAGGGAGCGAAGTTGCCTCGGTAACTGCAAATTGCCACTAATGACTGTTTCATACATGTTTTTTGCAAAAAGGGTTCCAAATTTTATATGATGCTTTTTTTAAAACTGCGAAATTTTTTAGAGTCCTCATTCTAGAAAACTTACTGCATTATTCTCGTTTGTCGTTTTCAAGCCTCTAATGAGATAGAAGTCAGTATGATGCAATGATAGTCTGTCTTAGGCACTCAATTGTGGCTCTAGTGACAAAAAATTTTTAAGTTATCTCTCCAAAAAAACAATTCTTTTACTCACAAGTCCTAACCAATCGCTTTGCAGCAATCGATCTGCAACTACTGCCACCTGATTGGCCAATGCTCATGTAAGTGCTGAAGGGAGGTCAGACAGGTGCAAAATTAAGTCCAGTTATTTTAACGCCAAATTTTAGGCATTAAAGTTATCTCGTGACCCCTGGGTGCTAACTTTACCACTGCTCAAGTCAAAACCTCGTAGGATGAAACAGAGAGAACTTCGAAAGTTTTTCACGTCCGATTAATTAAAGGCGATTCTTTCACGAAAAAAAAACACTATAAAAGAAGAATGTACTAATTTTTTACAATGATGTCGAGCTAAGTGGGGCAGGTTTAAGGGTCAGAATGTTCTAGACGTGTGTCATTAAACATAAACTCTCAAAACGCTCCATTGGTGAGCGAGGCTTATGCGGCAATTGAATAACTCACGAGATTTGGCTAGGGTGACTACACTCTTCACGCTCTCCACTTTGCTGATGTTTTAACTCCCTCTATGAATGCGTCTGAACTTTGGGTGCGCTTATGTATGAGTAAGCGCTTAAGTGGTCTTGGTGAGTAACCATGACCCTGACTGAACTCTAGCCAACATGCAGCCGCCGTTTTTATGCCCTCGTTCAGTGTCTACCCAAGAGCAACGGTCAACGGATGCCATGTCGTCTGTGCACCTACTTTAAGAAACTCCTCCTGTCTATTCAATTATTTGTCAAAATATCACATAGAATTGGAGGTTTTTAGGAATAAATAAGGTAGCCAAGATGAGTTTGAATATGAAAAGTCCCTATGCAGATAGTGGAAATGGCTGTGGAGATTGTCAATTAGAGAGTCCATTTTCAACAACCATTTCAGATTTGCCATATAAAGTGCTAATTTAC